TGGACTTGGTTCAAAGCTGTATTTTCATTTGGGACTTTGAGATGGTTTTGTTCTTTTTTATTGTTGTTCTTTTTTAGAGGTTTTTTGTTCATTCTTTTGTTCTAGGTTTGTGTCTTTTGCTTTCCTGCCACCATAATAGCTCTTTACGTTAGGATTCTTTTTTTGTTTGTACATCTTTCCAATATACTTCTTGACTTGGAGCCTTTGGTTAAGGCTGGACTCTGAGTACTTTGGGGGGGGAACTTCTGCACTAAGCTTCTCTCCTCTTCTGTACTTCTGCTTTCACAGCTCAGGCTGGGGGCCTGCAAACTTTTAGCACTCCCAAAGAGATATAATTCAGGATGAAGTCTGCTCACTGCCTTCCCTGTCTGAACTCCACAAGTTCCTGACCCAGGTTTGGGTCTGTTGACTTGTTCCTGGTTGGAAATTTCAGTGGTGAAAACAGTAGCTGCCAATTTCAATAGTGGCTGCTGGAAGCAGCCTCTGTTAGCCTGCTGGGAGGCTCTGTGGGTTCAGAGGGACTGAACTGCAGGCTTTCCCTTTGATCTGGGATTCCCGCCCTGGTTCTTCTACTGCAGGTTTCAACCTCGGCTGGAGACTAGAACTGAGGCCTGCTCTCCTCTTGGAATCAGAGTCACTCAGTTATTGCTTTCTTCCAAACTTGTTCCTCACTCAGTACATAACTAGAGCCCACAACTATGACTGCTTCTCTCTGCCTAGATCCCCATACCCTCTTCAGTCTGTCCTGGATCTGTGGTCCAAACTGGGTTGTGGGCATCAGTTTCCAGAGAGGCACCCATTCCTACACTCTGAACTAGTTCAGGGATATCGTGGGATCTTACCCTGACTCGGGACTTCTTGACCCAGTGCATAGTCTTAGCTCTGTTAATCTCTGCACGATGGAACACATCCCACACAGTGTGCTCCTGGACAGACTTCATCCCTAGTACCCAAAGACCTCTCTGTTTGTCTCCCTAAGTCACCCTGAATTGGAAAAAAAATGACATACTATAACTTTTTCTTGGCTATCCAGATCAGAACATGATTTGGTATATTTTCTAGAAGTTAGTGAAGGAGGCTGGGGGAGCTATACTGTAGTACCTGCTACTCTACCATTTTCATTCTGCCTCAGTCTCACATCCTCTTATCCCTCTCCTTTCCAACCACAACTCATTCTACTCATTTTTTCACTCTTAAACAAACCAGGAATCCCAGGTAATAATAATAAAAATCACAACAACAACAATAATATCTCACATTTAGATAGAGCTATATTGGTCTAAAATAAAATAATGTAGGCAAGTACTTAGAAAACCTTAGCACCATAGAGATGAAATGTTAACAATTAGAGATTTTTTTTCCTTTTTTTGTGTTTGTTTGTTTGAAGGCAAGCAGGATTAAATGTCTGAGGTCACATTTGAACTTGGGTCCTCCTAACTGAAAGGCCAGGGCTCTATATACTGCACCACTTAGCTGCCCAAAATGTTAACAATTAAAAAATACGAAAAATAATCTTTTTGGATTATACCTGTGATTTCATTAGTCCAGAGAACTCCCAGCAAGGAAATTCCTTCCATTAATGCAAATCAAGACCTTCTCCACAACTCAGTCCTAGAAAGCTGTGTGGAGTTACTGAGAGAAATGACTTGCCCAAGGTCACAGAGTCATTATGTGTCAGAAGTAGGAATGAACATAGCTCTTCCTGATCCAAAGAGAGTCCTTTTTCCCCCCTTTGCCCCACTGCCTCTTCATAACAGCTGTAGCTGTTTGTAGAGTTTTTAGAGTACTCTCATTTGAGTATCACAGCAATATTGTAGGGTGAAAGCTTCAAGGATTACTAGCCCCATTTTATAGGTTAGGAAGCTGAGGCTTTGAGAGAGTAAGTGACATTACTAGGGTCTCACAGCAAGTAAGTGTCAGAGTCAAGAGTCAAACCCAAGTCCTCCTGACTACTTCCTCCTCAGCCATCCTTGGCAATATTGTCAATAACACCCAGCTACCATCTAACTTAAGAGTTTCAACCTGATCATTGAGGTAAGAGGGAATCTCTGATGCTTCTCGTGCAGAGAAGACTTGACCTTTAGCAATATCAATTTGGCAGCCACATGAAAAATGTATTAGGACAGGGAGGAACCCAATTAGAAGACCAACGCAAGAAGACTGGTGGTAAGTGGTGACTATCTGAATAGAGAGGAGATGAAAGAGAGATGTTATGGAGGAAGAACTGACAGGGCTTGGCCACCAATTGGACATATGGGATGAAATGGGAAAATGGAAGAGATTGTGCCAAGCACAGAGTCAGGTACCTAACAGATGTTTGAGAAATCTGTATTGGACTGGATTGAATTGAATTGAACGTCCTCTAGCTGGAGCAGTCCAGAGGAGGTGGGCTAGGATGGGGTGAGGACTGGAGGCCATCACACAATGTGGCCGAAGGCATTGGGGATGTCGAGCCTGGAGAAGCCTGGGATGGCGGTAAGGGGTAAGTAAGGGACTGGCACATGACTTCTAATATTTGAAGGGCTGTCATGGAAAGGAGGGATTAGATGTGTTCTACTTGGCCCCAGAGGACAAAACCAGGCACAATGGGGAATGTTGCAGAGGGGACTTGGAAGCAATGTCAAGAAGAACTCCCTAACCATGAAAGTGGCCCCGAAAGGGAGTGGGGGGTCTCTCTCAAGAGATAGTAGGATCCCCCTCCCTAGACACCTTCCAGAAGAGGTTAGGTAGTCACTCCTCAGAGATGCCATAGAGAGGGTTCCTGCTCAGATAAACGTCAGACTAGATGCCCTCCAAGGTCAGTCAATAAGCATATGAGCTCCTACTATGTGCCAGGCACTATACTAAGTGCCAGGGATACAAAGAAAGGGAAGAACAGTCTCTCTTAAGGTGTTCACGATATAATGGGGAAGACAATATGGAGACAACCTTTACAAACAAGATATAGACAGGCTAAGTTGGAGATGATCTCAAAGGGAAGGCACTGGGATAAAGAGAGATTGAGAGGCTTCTTGTAGAAAGTGGGACTTCAGCTGAGGCTTAAACAAGGAGACAAAGATCTCCAGAGGGGGAGAATTCCAGGCATGGGACACAGCCTGGGAAAATATCCGGAGTCCGGAGATGGCGTGTCTCATGCAAGGAGCAGAGCTTTGTCCCTGGGTAGAAGAGGATTATGATGTAACAAGACTGGAAAGGTGGGAGGGGGCTAGGTTGTGAAGGGCTTTAAAAGCCAAATGGGGGGTTTTATTGGATCCGGGAGGAAACAGGAAGCAAACGGAGCTTATCAAATAGGAACATGACATGGCCAGATCAGAGCTTTAGGAAGATCACTTTCAGAACCAAGCAGGGTGAGGGAAGATGGGAGATGGGAAGTTGTTGACTATCATCGTGCTAGTCTGGGTGTGAGGTGAGATTCGGGGATCCTATGAGTTTAAGATTTTATCTAAAGACCACCTGAACCAGCACATCCGTCAGGGACCCAGGCCAGAGAAATAGTCTCTCTCTTGCCTCCTGTTCTGAGCCTGGCAGACTTGCGTGAGGGAGACAGAAGGGCAGAGGGGCACCACCAGTGAGTGGGTGGTGGGCCCCACTGGCTAAGCTAAGCACACCACCCACAGAGCCAACCCGGAGAGCCCTGGGAGATGAGAAGCTGATGCTTGACACCGAAGACAACAGAGAGCAAAAGCATCAGGAGTACCAGGTAAGGACAGCTCTCAGCCCCAAGTTTATAGATACACTGAAATCTACCCATGGACCCTTTGGGGGCCCATAGATTGCAAGTTAAGAACCCTTGGTATAGTGGGAAGTGCCACTGGCCCAGGAGGCAGGACACCCGAGCAAGCAAATCTCTTCTTAGGGCCTCAGTTTCCCCACATGCAAAATAGGAATAATCCACCCCCAGCCTCCCTCCTATGGCCATCATGAGCCATTTGCCTCAAGTGAATCCCTTGTTCTTCTGGGGCATCAGTCAAATGAGGGGGTGTGAGCTGCTCTCCTCTGCCCTGGTCAGATCACATTTGGTATTCAATTCTGAGGCTCCACCATTTTGGAAGGACATTGACAAGCTGGACGGTATCCACAGGAAGACACTCAAGTTGGTGAAGGACCTTGAGTCCATTAATAATTATAACAACAACAACAACAGCTAGAATTTATATGTCACCTCCAGGTTTGCCCATCGCTTTACATTTCCCACCTGGCCACACTCTTGAATTTCTCCATCCTGCCCGTCATGTGCTGGGTACCTTCTCTCCTCTCCTGCCCCCTTTTCAACTTCCTTTAATGTATTGCCTTTCCAATTAGGATGTAGATTCCTTGAGGGCACAGACTATCTCTCTTTTTGCTTATATGTTTATTCTTGGCACCAGGCATATAGTAAGCGATTAATAAATGTTTGTTGACTAACTGCCTTTATGTGTTATCTGAGCCTCATGACAATCTTATAAGGTAATGAGCCCATTTTATGAATAAGGAAATTAAGGCTGGAAAAGTTAGTAAGTGTATGAGACCGGATTTGAACTCGGGTCTTCCTGACTCTAAGATTAACATTTTATCCACTGCACCAACTACAATTGCCAACTGAAGGAACTGAGGGTACCTATCCTGGAGAAAGGAAGAACTGGGGAGAGCATGAGCATTGTCAAGTATCTGAATATCCGTCATTTGGAAGAGGCGCTAGGTGGCGCCATAGTGCATTGAGCTCAAACCTGGAATCTGGAAGGCGCATCCTTCTGAGTTCAAATCTGGTCTCAGATGCTTACAAACTGTGACCATGGGCAAGTCGCTTTACCCTGTTTGCCTCAGGTTCCTGATCTGTAAAACGAGCTGGAGAAGGAAATGGCCAAGTATGTTTGCCAAGAAAGCCCCCAATGGGGCCACGGTGAGTCGGATATCACTGAAATGACTGAGCAACTGGATTTGGAAGATGGATTGGACTTTGCTTGGCCCTAGAGAGCAGAATGATGAACTATGAGTGGGAGCTGCAAAGAAGCACATTTAAGTGATGTCAGTCAGTAAGCATTTATTAAGCTCCTACTGTGAACCAAGCCAAATCAGGAACAACAGGAAAGAGCCAAGGAGAGGCAACATTCGGAGCTGTCCAGAGAGGAACTGAACGGCCCTGGGAGGTGGTGGGCCGCCCTTCCCTGGAGACCTTCCATAGAGGCTGATGGAGAGCTATGGGAGGGGATTTTCATCCAAGTATGGGCTGGGATTTTCTAGCCTCCCAGTCTAGGCTGGTGGGCCTCCAGCTAATCCCACCTCTGCCTCCATCTCCCCCAGCAGCCTGACGTCAGCCACGGTGGGGCAGCAGGCATGGGGCTGGGGGGGAGCGCAGGAGGACAGCGTCTGAAGAGACAGACCCGAGCCTAGAGAGGAGGTGGCTGTTTATTGTGTTTTACAAATTAACGACTGTATTTACAATCCTTCCCTTAGAGGCCTTTGAAACACAGATCCAGATGGCTGATGGCCGCTGATGATGGATGACACCGGGAACTCTTCCCAAGCCACCCCAGGGGCCTATTGCCCTCTCCCTCCCTCCTCCCGGAGTCATCCCAAGGCACCTCGGACACCCCTGCTCTCCGGCCCTGCTGGGTGTTAGGACCTGACTTAGGCCCTTTTGTGTTCTCCCTGGGGGCCCATTCGGCAGCCCTGACACAGATCTATGTGGCTATGCCTGGCCATCTAGTCCTGGTCCTGCCTGTGAAGGATCTGGAGCCCCTCTGCTGGGACCTGGGTCCTCACTGCTGTCATCCCTCCTGTCACCAGGGTCTCTGTTTGGCCCAGCCATGAGTTTAACAAGGCTGCTACACATCCACTTATTTAGATACCGGCTGGAGCTGGTAGGAAGGGGATAGGGGGAGCTGACTGCCTGTGTTCTTCCAAGTGGAGGCCAGGTCTGTAGGATGGACTGCCAGGAGATCCCCAAACTACGCACTCCCCACTGGACACAGCCTTGCTAGTGGCCCGAGCCACAGACAAAATCAGAGAGGTCAGAAGAAAGTGAGCCAGGAGAGCCAATCCTGGAGCAATGAGCTATCTTCATGGTCCAGCTCAGGGCACAGCCTAGGAGCAGGCATCATCAGGAGACAAATCTTCACTAGCCAGGAGGGACAGATTTGGGTGGAAGGCTCAGCACAGCCCCCTGCCCCTTCCACTCCACTGAGCCCTGTGCTCCAAGGGGTGGTACGGAGTAGGAGACGACAGAAGGAGCCTGAGGAGAGGCTGAACAACGGTGACGGCGCTGGGGTGGGCCGCGGAGGAGGCGCTAAAGGTTTTGGAGGCTGAGGGCCAGCTCACTCTTGTTGTCCAGGAGAAACTGCTCACAGGCCTTGAAGGTGGTGATGAATTCGGATGACAGCCCTGCCACGTTGGTCGTCACATAATTCAGGAAACTGGTAGTAGCCTGGTTGTAGTAGGATACCTGGAAAGGGTGGCAAGAGAGGCAGGGTTGGATCAAGTCAAGTCAATAAGCATTTATTAAGCACCTACTGTGTGCTGGGCACTGTACTAGGATTACAAAAAAAGGCAAAAACAGCCCCTGTCCTCAAGGAACAACAGCCTAATGATAGACAACATGTAAAAAAATCCCAATAAAATATAGAGGATAAATTACAGCTAATTAGCAGAGAGCAGGAAAGGCCTTTTGCAGAAGGTAGGTGGCATTAGATGGCACAAGGGGGTTAACCAGGGGCCCAGGTCTGGGGTCTTCTCAGCTACAGCTGGGAAGGGAGGGACCGAGTCCTGGAAAACTGCTCCATTCTTTACTGACCCCCCGTAGTTGGCAAGACCAGGCGGAGTGGTGCCGGGGAAAGAAAACTCACTTTGGAGTCAGAGGACCCAAGCTCAGACACTACCTCTGATGCGTAATACCTGTGTGAAACTTTAGGCAAGGTACGGCCTCAGTTTCCTCATCTGTAGAATGGAAGTGTCAGATGAGATGCCCTTTAAAGCCCCTTCCAGGTCTAAATGCATGGTCTCTATCTGCTCATCCCCACTACCCAAGGGGGCCACCCAATCTTTGCTGAGTGTCTCTGAGCTGTGCAGAGTCAGAGAATTGTAGCCCTGAAAGCAGAAACCCCATCTTTGGCCACAAATACTCGTCTCTTCCTCATAATCCCTCACGTTTTCAGGGAACCCCACAGTTTATAATCACTGTTCACCGTTACGACCTCATCTAATCCTCACGGCAACCTTAGGAGGGAGGCAGAGGAGAGACCATCATCTCAGAATGGTAGAGCTCAGTGGGTCTAGTTCAGCCCAAACCTGATGGGGAAGCCCCCTCCCCAAGCTCCCCACCAAGTGGAGAGGGATTTTACAGAAGGGGAAACTGAGTCTCAGAGAGGTCAAGTGATTGGCCTGAGGTCACACAGCCAGCTAAGAGGCAAAGTTGGGCCCCAAGCTGAGCTGGAAGGCCATCTAGCCGGGTCCTCTTCAGTAACTGCCGTGGGCCCTCTCATCCAGAGGATTATCACTCAGACGAGCCTCTGTCGGCACATTGTCCTTACCTGGTGGCTGGTTTTGCTCAAGTCTTTTCTCCCTCTTTTTTTTTCTTTAATTTTGCTTTTTGGTGAGACAATCACGGGGTTAAGGGACTTGCCCAGGGTCACTCAGCTATTAAATGTCAAGTGTCTGAGGCCAGATTTGAACTCAGGTCCTCCTGACTCCAAGGCTGGAGCTCTATCCACTGAGCCACCTAGCTGCCTTTCCCTCTTTTTTTTTTTTTAAAAAAAAAAACACTAGCTGACCTTTACTTAGTACTTTAAAGCTTATCTCATTTGATTCTCCCTGTGAGGTAGATACTACAATTGCCTTCATTTTACAGAGGAGGAAACTGAGGCCCAGAGAAATTAAATGGCCCTTTTATTCTTTGTTCTAGAAGATGATTATCTCTGTCTCTGTCTCTGTCTCTGTCTCTCTCTCTCTTCTCTCTTTCATGAAAAAGAGGTGATGCAAAAACAAAAGATAACAATAAAAATGGAATGAAAAACCTTCTGTATTGAAAGCCTAGCTTTGCCACTTCCTAGCTGTATGGCCAAGCCAATTCACTCTGATCCTCAGTTTCTCCATCTGTAAAATGGGGGTGCAGCCTCCCTGAGCTATGATGAGGGTCAGAGGAGATGGCAGGAGTAAAGTGCCTGAGGAATGCAGGCTTTTCTTCTCACTCCTGACTCATTCTGCTCCCACGTTATTTACAACGTGGCAGAAATTTGTTTTATGTGATGTCCTTTATGTAATGGGTTTTGCATTTCTTGCCTTCTCCGTAGGTGGGAGAAGGGTCTAGAGAGGGAGAGAATTTGGAACTGGAAATAAATTTGAATGAAAAAAAGAGCTCTTTGCAGCATGGGGTGGGGGAGAGAAGAGGGTCTGGGCAGGGGAGGAGACAGTCACAGAATACAGGGGCCCCTGGTCCTTACCTTGGTTTGCTGATCCCCTTCCCTCCAGAGACAGAAGCCGGAGCAGAGGGTCTCCCCTCTGGTATACTCAGGGGTCTTGGGGTGCGTGGGCAGGGTGACTGACCTCAGGGCAAGGACATAAGGCTCCCTAGAACAGAAGTAGAGGGAAGTGATATGGAGACCAATCCACAAGAAGAGAGAGCCCCCCACTTTCTGTCTGGCTTAGGAGCCCAAGGCCGTCTCACCCTGGGGAGGACACCCCTTACTTGGCCCTTCATTTTTCCCTCCCAGGGCACCTGATTAATGCGACAAGGTCCAGAGCCTTTTTATTTATAGCCTGAAAAACAGTAAGGAACAGCCTTCTGTCCAAGGTCACACAGCCCATCTGTAATGCAGCGGGCCACAGTGGAGGGAGCCCTGGTGTCTGAGGAGCTGGGTTCAAGGCCTATTTATGACTCATGTGACCCTGGCAGGTCACTTCACCTGGTGGGCTTCATCTCTAAAATGAGGGGAGGTCCAACAACATAGCCTCGGAGGGGCCTTGCAGCTCTGAGCCTACAGCTTTATCCACGCTCTTAAGCAGAGAGTTGGCCTCCAGCCTCCACCAGCACACGTCTCCAGTGTCCGACTTGCCAAACATCCCCGGGGCCGCCTATGTAGACTCCCAGGACCAGGCTCTCCGTGGCCAGTGTCCATTACATTTGGGGTTCATCTTCTTAGTCTATTTCCTAATTCACACCCAAATTATTTTTAAAAATTTCTTTAAAGAAAAAACATCAGTTCAAATGAAAATAATAGAATCTAGAGCTAGAAGAAACATTAAGAGATCATTTAATCCATCATTAACTCTCACCTGGGTCCTGGCGAGTGACTTGCCCAAAATCAGACAACAAAAGAAGCAGAAAAGTCAGGATTTAATGGAAATATAAAGACAAAAAGGAAGAGGATATAACATGTACAAAGAGAAAGAAATACAGAACATATGCAAAGGAATCCAAAGTAATTTTAAGAGGGACACAGTTAACATATGAGAGAATTAGGAAAGGCCCCTCCCAGCTCTGCCATCCCCTGTTCTAAGGTCCCTCCCAGCTCTGCCATCCCTACTATAAGGTCCCTTCCAGCTGACACACCTTGTTCTAAGGTCCCTCCCAGCTCTGACATTCCCTGTTAGACCACAAGATATAACTGGACATCACACTGTACTTAGGGTTCTAAAGTGGCACCCCCCCACTTACTAGCTCTGTGTCCCTGAGTAAGTGATGTAACTTCTAACAGGCTTGTTGTGAGAGGCACAACCGCATTCATGTGCTGTATCAGTACATGGCAGCTGCTTTGTGTCTCAAGGGTCCCCCCCCACCCCCCCACTCCCCCCACTCCCCCCCTTCCATGACTTTACAAACCAAAGACAAAAACTGAGGCCTCGTGGCTCAGAGAGAACTTGGGGCTGAGCTCATTTCCAGTGGGACTCTTCCTCTCTGGGGTGCTGAGGAAGGAGCTGTCCAAGCCCCTGCCCACTCACCCACTGTCACACGGCTTCCTCCTCGAGGCCAGGACAACAAAGTCCTGGGGCTTGCACTCAGCTCCTCCTAGGGCGGTGCTGATGACACGGTAGATGGCGTCGTCCTCGTCCACCTGCTGCACCAGCTCCACGCTCCTGCCAGGGAGAACATGGACTGTGGGTGGGGGTTGTCCACTCGGGAGTCATCGGAGCTGCAAGGGAAGGGAGGATCGATTCCCAGCCTCGCTGCTCCACACCCTGGGCTGCCCTGGGCTGGCTAACACTGAATATTTCATTTCCCCATCTATTATTCACGAGAAGCAACATTGCTGGCTAGAGACTATGGCCCCTCACACACACCCTGCATGCAGGGCAAGCTGGCAAGAGAGCTCAAAGAACCATTGACTCACGGAATATCAGAGCCGAGAAGGGTCTTGGAACAGGGAATGTCAGCGCTGGAGGGGCTTTAGAACAGGGGGGTGTCAGGGCCAGGAGGGGCCTGAGAACAGGGAAGATCAGAGCTAGAAGGGACCTTAGAACAGGAGATGTTAGAGCTGGGAGGGGCGTTAGAACAGGGAATGTCAGCTGGGAGAAGTCTTAGAACAAGGGATGTCAGAGCTGGGAGGGTCTTTAGACTAGGCAATGTCAGGGCTGGGAGGGGGCTTAGAGATCATCTAGCCCAACCCCTTCAGTGCACAGATGGGAAAACTGAGTCCCCAAGGAGAGAAGTGATGGGCCTGGGAGATACAGTGAGTTTCCCGTAGAGCCCACGAGGGCCTTGCGTCCCCTCCCAATGTGATGTGTTCTCCACTGTACATGCTGATTTGTCCTTTAAGGCCTCATTCCCTGGATCCTGGGTGGTGCTGTCCCCGCTCCAAGGGAAGGGCTGCCCCTTGGGTTTGCTGCCCTCTCCCTCCCCAATCCCACCCCCTTGTGTCTCTTTTCTGATTCCTACTTGTCTTTCAGGCTTGAGAAACATATTGAGAGCCTGTTCAAAATAGGAAAACGGAAGCCAAATTTGGAGTAAGGGGACCAGAGTTCCAATCCTGACTTGGGGACTTTCTTGCTATATAACCTCAGAAAAATCACTCACCTTTCAGGACTTCTCTTTAGGACTTTCCTCCTCTGCAGAAAGGAGGGGGTCAGACTTGATGGCGGAGGGAAAGCAGCTGAATGGCGCAGGGGGTTGGAAATCAGGAAGACTCATCTTCCTGGGTCCGAATCTGACTTCAGACACTTAGTAGCTGCGTCACCCTGGGCAAGTCACTTAACCCTGTTTGCCTCAGTTTCCTCATTTGTAAAATGAGCCCGAGAAGGAAGTGGCAAACTACTCCAGTATCTTTACCAAGAAAATCCCCCAGAATGGGGCCACAGAGACTTGGACATGATCTAAGTTGTAGCTGAAAAACCCCTTTCTTAGCGTCCCCTCTGAATTCCAGTCCCACTGTGGGCTGGGCATCTCCACCTGAATGTCCGGCTGACACCCAAGCCCAGTGGCATCCCTAAAATCGAGCTCATCACCTTCCCGGGTGAAACCCGCCCCCGTTTCTTTGGAGGGCTCGAGCCCCCTCCCATCTTGGTAAGCTTGGAGTCGTGCCTGCCTCTGCCCTCTCCTCCTCTCCCCAGAGCCCTTCAGCAGTGAGGCCAGTGAAGTCTGACCCAGCCTCTCTTCCACTTCCCACTCCTCTGCCCTGGTTCAACACCCTCATTTTGCAAAAAGGAAACTGAGGCCCAGAGAGGAGAAGGGACTTTTCTAAAGTCTCACAGGAAATAAGCCCCAACCAAGACTCAAACCCAGGACCTTCAGCTCACCATGGAAGTTGACAAGGCACAATATCTTTCACTATACCCTGTCCACTCTGTCCTGCCCTCAAGAACAGAAAAATCCAGATCAGAATCAGAAATAATTTAAAGCATTTAAAGGTTTGCTACTGTTAAATAGTATATTCTCTCATTGAATCCTCATGATCACAATAGCCGGCCTTTAGATAATGACTTAGAATTCATAAGGTGTTTTACGTATGATAATGACAACCATGAAAGGGAGGGGCTATTATTGGCTTCATTTAACAAATTGAGAAACTGAGGTTGGGAGAGGTTAAGTAATTTGCCCTAGGTCACACAGCTAGCAAGTGTCTGAGTCAGGATTTGAACTCAGGTCTTTATGACTCCAGGTCTAGGCTCTATCCACTGAGTCACCTAGCTGCCTACCCCATGTCCTCTGAACTCCCTAGGATTGGCCCTAAGAGCCTGGGTGGAGGCTTAATGGATATTTGTTGAGTTGAATGGAGGGATCTAATCAACAAACATGGTCCCTGCTCCAGTAACATCTCTCTTCCCTCACCCCAACCCCAGCCAGGGCTCACTGGTAGTGCTTGTCCCACTCAGGCCGGCGGCCCAGATCTGAGAGGAGGAGAAAGGCTTGAGCTGTGTCTGTGTAGACAGTCATCTCCATGTGGAAGGACAGGAATTTGTCATCCTCCAAGGTGTAGAGTTTGATCTGAGGGAGGGAACAGAGCCTGTAGTCACGCCACGGTGGCGCACAACAAAATAGCACCCAGATACATTGAGATGCAGTCCCCATCCCCAACCCTTGAATCCTGCCCTCTCGGCTCAGAGCTTTTCAACGCCCTTTTTAAACCCGGGGCCACAGAACTGAACACCGTACTCAGGGCAGTGGACAGAGGAGCTAACGTCACCTTAGCCCAGCCCCTGATGGTTTTCTTAAAGCAGCCTGAGATTGCACTAGCATTCTTGGCTGACGTCTTGGATTGATGACTTCTATTGAGTGTGTAGTCCACTAAAGCCCCCAGATCTTTTTCAGAAGAAATACTCACTAGCCACCTGGGCAGGGTCACATTCTATGGAATGTGTCCATATGTTACATTAGCGCACTATACAGCATAGACCAATATATTGGCCACAAATAAGCTCTCCTTCAGCCTCACTGGGAAAACTAAAGCCTGGGGGAGGGATGATTCGTTGCTAGTTGTCCCTAAGGAGCCCTCCACACAAAGGTGATTGTGCATACACACACATGCACACACGCACACACACTCTTATCACATACACAACACACACACACACACACACACACACACACACTTCATGATAGAGCTCACGAAGAGAAGCCAGCTACCTTATTGATCTCTGACGTAAGGACCCAGGTATCCTTGGCCATGAGCATCTTCAGTGAGGAGACATTATTGTAGCTCAGATACACCTGAACAGAAGGAACATCCAGGAACGTCAACATCACCTGGTCCAGGTGGGGAGGCAGGAAGCAGCCACATGGGCCAAGCAAAGACTGAATGGCATTTAGTAGCGTCAACTTCCCCTGTGGACCAGGGATCAGGGACCCCAGCACAGGGCTCCCCGTGCCCACCACACCTGCTTCTGGGCCCCTTCAGATACTGGGCCTCAGAGGAGTGAGAAGAGTCTCTGGGGGGATAAAGGATGAGAAGAAGCGGAGCAGCAAGAGTGCCCTGCCCACCCCCCACCCCCTCACTCTGGCCTGGCTGAAAGTGGGAATCCTCCACACGTGAGGATTAATACAACAGCTTCCTAGGTGGCCATGGGATAATCATCAGGAAAAAGATCAATAAATAAGCAGTTATTAAGCACCTACTATGTGCCAGACGTTGGAGAAACAACAATAAAAGCAAAGCAAAGCCTTTCCTGGGGAAGCTTGCGTCCTATCAATGGGGATGACACACAAATACAGACATATACAAAACAGGCACAAAAAAGTCCAAGGCAATTGGGGGGCACTAGCAGCTTTGGGAGGGGGAAGGTGTAGAAGTTAGCACTTGAGCCCAGTTTTGAAGGAAATTAGGGATTCTAAGAGGGAGTGTCCACCAGGCACGAGGAACAGCTGATGCAAAGGTGTGAAGATGGGAAACATTAAGAGGATCACAGTTCCGCAGGCCAGTCCAATGGGATATCAGCATTCATGGGCAGTAATGAGTAATCAGGTTGGAATGGGAGTTTGGGGCCAGGTGGTGAAGGAGGAAGAGGAGCAGGAAGAGAGGGTGCTTCTGTGCTTCTCAGACTTAGAAGAGGCGGCAGAGGCCTAACCTCGCACCCAGTACAGCAGGCCACTTCTCTGACAGCACCGTTGAGGGGTCACCTCATCTCTGCCGGAAACGTCCAGTGACATGGACCTTGCCACGTCAGGAGCCAAGCCCGGAGGACCACGGGCAGGTAGACCATGGGTGCCTCCCCCTACAAGCGTCCTACAGACCCATCAGAGGTCTGGACCACAGTCTCCCAAGGGTCTCCTGGAATGCTATCAGTTTCTTCAGGATGGACTGGACTTACCTGGTTACTTGGGTCCCAGGGGACAGAGAGAGGGACCTCGGTCTGCTTACAGGACACGATGTACTTCCTGGGGAGAACAGGGGGGTATGTATTATGGATTGCCTGCTCCCTGTGCCCTCAGCCCAGTACTGGGCCCCTTAGAGAGGGCAGGGGATGGAGAGGCTCCCTCCCCCCAACACAGACAGCTTTGCTGGGGACACAAGCAAGCCCACGAGACCGATGGGGACACATACAAGACCACACATGATCGTTTTCTCAAGATGCAGGCTCAGACGTGGAGGGGGGGCGCAGAACAAAGCAGCCACCTTCTTCAAGGACCATGGGGGCCTAGGTTTAGAGCTGGGAGGCATCTTAGAGATCATTGAATTCAACCCCCTCATTTGACAGATCAGGAAACTGAGACCCAGAGAAGGCAAAGGACTTTTTCAAGGTCCCAATTTAGTAAATAGTTGAATTGGAATTCAAAACCTTGTCCTCTGAATCTAACACCGTCACACCTCAGCACTGCCCATGGCCCAAGCCCAGAGGCCAGCACTCAATCTAGCTGAAGCTGATTTCTTTTCTTTTCTTTTCTTTTGTCCTTTCTTTCTTTCTTTCTTTCTGTCTTTCTTTCAGGTAATCAGGGTTAAGTGACTTGCCCAGGGTCACCAAGCTAGTAAGTGTCTGAGGCTGGATTTGAACTCAGGTGTGCCACTTAGCTGCCCCTGAAGTTGACTTTTTTAAGGAACCCTGGAACGACCTCTCTTGTTCTGGGGAAAGTGAGCACGTCACCTCCTCTACAAAGCCCCTTATAATTCTACCCTCTCTCACTCTAAAGCTGGCTGGGGCTCCTCACTCCCCCTCTCATTGACAGCCTCCACACTCAGACTTTCTTCACTACCGTCTCCCCCCAGAACCTCACACTCTGCTCTTGGGACCACCCTGGGCTCTGATAGACCAGCTTGGGTCTTATCTCGCCTGGAGCCAGGCCTCCATAGCACTTTCTGGGCATCTCCAGCCATGCCACTGAGAAGCACCTACCTCTCCCCTTACTTCCAACTTCCCTTCCTGGGCTGTCTTCCCCATTAGAATGGAAACTCCTTGAGGGCATGGCCTGTCTTGCTTTTGTTTTAATCCTCAGAGTTGTGAAACAGCCTGGCACCTAGCAGGCACTTAGTAAAAGCTTTATCTCTGTCTAACTGAGCCCACAGGACCCCAGACTCCTCTTCTGACCTTTAGCCTGTTCTGTTTGGTACCACAGTGATCTCTGGTGACGTCTTGTCCATCTGCTCACCTGTGACTATGAAGGCAGGAGCAGGGCCCAGGGAGGCCCCCAAACTTGTCCCACCTTCTAACGTCCTTATCAGTCATTCGTAGTTACAATCCTCACTCGTACCCGTTCCCCGTGTCTATTCACTTGTCAAGGTTTGTCGATTTTTTCCAGGCAACATTTTTCAAAGCTGTTTTCTCTTCCATAGTGAGGTCATTACCCTCGGTGGAACCCTCATCAGCCCCTGCCTAGATCATTTCAATCACCTCCTCCAAGGTTTCCTGCTTCCCCTCTCTCCTCTTCCACCCACCCCCAACCCAGCTACCCACGTGATATTCCTACAGCATAGACCTCCCTCTATCTCTCTCCTCCTCAAGAGTCTTCAATGGCTCCTTATTACTACTATGATCAAATAGCCAATCCTCAGCTTGGCATGTAAACCAAGCAGGCCCAAGCCTGCTCATCTTTCCAGGCTCACTTCCTATCATACCCTTTCAGGCACTCTACAGGTCAAGTGAACCATTCCCCAGGCATGGCATGGAGTCTGCCTCCTCTGTCCCATGCCTGTCATGCTCCCTTTCCTAACCTCTGCCTCTTGGGACCTCCTGGCTTTCTTCAAGGGCCACCTCCTACATGTGCCCTCCCTGATTTCACCTCCCCTGGTGTCAGTATTCTCCTCTTTCTGCCATTTATTTTTTATCGAGTTTGTATTTCTTGATCTCTGCGGGTGCTGTACCTTTCCCAGTAACACACAAGCTCTTGGAGGGCTGGGGTGCCTTCATTTGTGTCTTTGTATCACCAGTACCCTGCACACAGTAGGCGCTTAATACAAATGTTTGTTGAACTGAATGAAATCACAAAGGACCCTACCAAAGGGCCAACAAGCTGGAACAAGCATCCATGAAGGAGGACATGCTCTTTCAAACCATTGTTTTTAATACAGTTTAATGTAGCTAAACACAGTTTGACTGATTAACTAATATAGTGCCCTGAAGCATTGAACAATGCACAGAAAAAGACCTAATGCTAGGAGAGGGAATTCCAACTCTTCGTGGAATGTCATTAGCAAGCATGTTGAAGCACCTACTATGTGCTGAGCACTGTGTTAGGCACTAGGGGCAGAGAGTCAAAGAATGAAACCATCCCTACCCACTCACATTCCCTTGGAAAATCCTAACCCAGAAATTCTAATAAGGATGAGTAGCTAGAGATAAGAGATGCAACTACATATGTACAAACAGAAGAAAGAACAATATTAAACTATAGCCCTTGGCATTCACTAGTGCTTTAAGGTGTGCAAAGCGCTTTACAGTCATTATCTTTTCTGATTGTCATGACAACCTGGGTGGTTAATACCACTGGTGTTATTAACCCCATTTCACAGATGAGGAAATCCAGGGGAGAAGGGACTTTCCCAGGGGATGTGTGTAAGAGTTCTGTGGAGAATATGAAGGTAATCAGTGGGATGATGTTGATAAAGTCTCAAAGGCCCATCTTGGCCCAAGCCTCATCCCCTCAGCACCCAATGAGCCAGGGCTCAACGCCAACATAGTGCTGGCTGAGTCTGGATACAGCTCCATGGAAATGGTATGAAAGTAAGAGCTTGGGGATGGCAAGAAGGGGTTGTGGCCACCAAAGTACAATGATTTGTAAAGCTTCTGTGCCCGCCTCCTGCCCTCACTCACCTGTCCAGTCTCATCTTCTTTCTAGCGCTGGCCTCCCTATACCTACGCTCACCTTCCTGAAGGAGAGAGAAAAGCAGAGATAAGTCCTTGATGGGCAATCAGCTAGGCCCCCAAGTGCCCAGAGAGAAGGGCGAGGACACCTTCAGGACAGATGGGGTGGGCCATGCTCAGGCAGGGCTGACTGGGTAGGAAGGGGCATGTCTTATCCCCTCCCCCTGACATGGGCCATGGCCTCTCCATCCCTGACTTCCCACACAGGCCCCCTGGCACCCAATTGATGAAAATAAGCCTCCCTCCTGAAATACCTTGGGGTGGGAATGAAGGGTGAATCTCTCTCTCATTCTTACTGCCTGCTACCTTGTCTCACACTGTTTCTCCCTCCCAAATCAGACCACAGATAGTACACAACTTTGCAAACTACAAATGGCCCAACCCACCCCATCCAAGGAGTAGCTAGCAAGCTATTGCTCCCAGCAGAGGGGATGGAGCCTCACCAAGCCACCCTCTCCCCCACCAAGCCATTCATTCCCCCACCAAGTCATTTGCTCCCTCATCTTGCCCCCCTTGGAGGAGCCCTATGTGGAAAAGATGACCAGAGGTTCCTATGGTAGCCACAGGATGGAGGAACCTTAACTGTCCCACGGGGGATTGACCCCACATCCTTGGTCTCGTTCACAGGATACAGTCACTCATAGCTGGACTTAGTTAAAGTGATAGGGTCTAGTACCCTGGGGCCAAGAGAATGTAAGCTCCACAAGGGGAGGGACAATTTGCTTTTTTGGGTCTTTGTTCCCCCAGTGCCTAGCCCAGTACTAGGCACATAGGGAGAGCTTAATAAATGCTTCTCAGATTGAAGGGAATGACTCGCCTCGCCTTGCGGCTGAATCCAGGGCAGGGTTATAGGCTGGTCATCTCCATCCAAGACCACAAAAGTCATGAAGGCACTGTTGAGGTGCCGCCGGCAAGACTCCATCTCCTGGTGGTAAGCTTCCACGCACACCCCAACCTCCATGCTGCAGAGACACATCAGCCAGAAAGGTAAAGCCCTTCCCTCCCTCCTAGGCAGGCCCCAAGAAATCCCTCAGCTGCCTGGCTCGTCACTAGAATTCCACCGGGAAACCTTTGCATGCTACATAAATGCTGGCTTCATTATTGTTGTCACTATCTCTAAAATTATGGTATTGGGGTAAATAATCTCTAAAGTTCCTTCCACCCATTCTCAGGCACCTCACAGCTCTGACAGCCCCTCTTTTCATTCCCTCTTTCACTCTTAAAGCCTGGGTTGTCACAGTCTATGAATTTCTGTGGGGTCAGCTTTTATGGTTTTTCATTTTCAGTTTATGGCTAATTTCTGCTCTCCTCTCCCCAACACATACACATCCATCCCATTACACTCCTATCCCTTAATAGGTCCCGTCTCACCTGTTCTTGAAGGCATTGTTGACAATGGCCTTGAGCACCAGCCGGTCCCCAACCTGGGATGGGCCACGAAAGTGGAACATCTCGATTGTCTTCAGGGTGGGATGGGCCCCGCACAGACGGCTGAGGTAGTGGGGAAAGGCATGCTATCAAAGCCTGGCCAGACTTGAGCCAACTGCCCAGCCCTGGGGTCTATCATATGCCCTCCGGGTATATCCCTGCTGGGTGGTTGGCTGTGTCCTGCCAGAGCAGGGTGGGAGGTGGGGAGGTGGGGGCAGGGAAGGTAGCAAAGGCTTATGTAGGCACAGCAGGGAAGAGGAGGGAGCAATTGGGGTGAGGCTTGTCTGTTGGGGACGTTGGCTCCCAGTCCCCCTGCCCCAGCTCAGTCTTATTCCCATCTCTATTTCTGAGGTCAGGCTGTTTGTTCCCTCTGGCTTGAATACCTAACCTCATCCCAATCCTAACCATCCTTCAAAGCCCAGCTCATGGGGATACAATGTGGCACAGTAGAGAGAGCACTGGACCTGGAGTTGGGAAGACCTGTGTTCAAATCCCACCTCAGACACTTACTAAAGGGTAAATCACTTAACCTCTCTGTGCCTCAGTTTCCCCTTCTGAAAAATAAAGGAGTTGGACTCAGTAGACTCGAAAGCCTCTTCTAGTTCTCTATCTAAAATCCTATGATCATCCCAGCTCTCTGCTCAGAAACTTTCCCCAACTACCCCATTCTCTCCACCCACGGTCAATTCATTAAGCCTCTACTAGGCACCTACAATGTACAAGGCACTGTGCTGGGGCACAAACACAAGGAATTGTACAGCCCCTGCCCTCGAGAAGCTTACATTCTCCAGGGAGGAGCATGATGCAGTGAAGAGGGCTAAATTTGGGGTCTAAGGAACTGGCTTTGACACTTAGGACCCTGGTGTGATCCTGAGCAAATCACTTTGTGTCCCTGGGACTCAGTTTAATGATCCATAAAATGAGGGGGTTGGGCTCATTTCCCCCAACTCACTCATCAACATGAGATGGAATACTCGTTCCCCATGGTCATTTCCATGTTCTCACTCTATACCTATCACTCAATAACCTCTCCTCCTTTGAGGTTCATGTAATTCCTATCTACCACCCAATCACAATCCTGGTAGCTGTTGTCTACAGACACACACCCCCTGCCCCAAGAAACTCCCCTTCCTCCCTCAATGAGTTCCGTGCCTGGCTCACAATCTTTTTCTTCTCTCCAATTCCTTCTCTCATCTGGGGACTTCAAAGTCTATATTGATACTCCTTCAAACATCCTAAACTTCCAGTTCCTCAACTTACTCACTTTCCATGATCTACTCCTCCATTCCATCTCAATCATACACAAAGATGGTCATACACTTGACCTTACCGTCACCCATAGATGCACCGCCTCTGTGTTCAAGAATTCCAAAATCCCCTTATCTGGTCACAATATTTTGCCTTTCCACCTCTCCCTCTGCCTTCCCTTACCAAGATCTTCTCTTCATCCATACCATGAAACACAGTTCTCTTCCAGACCATCTTCACCACACCTCTCTCCTTCCTGAGGTTCTTCCAGACCTCTCTCTCCTCTTTTCCCCATCTTGACCCCTGTCCTCTTCTCTTGAGTTCTCAACTCCTTTTATCATATCACCAATTGTGCCCTGCCAAGCCTTAGCCTTGGATCACACCCACCATCTTCTACCTTTGCTCCTAGCCACGTGTTGCCAAAAGAAATTGGAGAAAAGTCACAAAAATCATGCTGACAAATTAATGTTCCATAACCTCAAATGGGCCTTCATTGCTGCTGGGCAATCCTTTTACACCTCCTTAATTAACTTGTTATCCTACCCATTGCGGCTTTCTAAATCTTTTAATCTCTCCTCAAGCTTCCCATAGTCCCCTTCTGCCCATCTTCTCAGTAGAGAACTTTGCCTTATATTTCACTGAAAAAATTGAAGTCATTTGAAAAGAGCTCCCTCCTCTCATCCCCCAGATGCCTTCTGCCACAATCTCCTCCTTCATCTGTCTCAGATGAAGAGGTAGCCCTTCTCCTTGCCAAGGCAAACCCCTCCACCCATACAAGTAATCCCATTCCAGCCTGTCTCCAGCAGAGTGCCCCCTTTATCATCCCTATTCACTCCCTTATCTGCAATCTCTCCCTGTCTACTGGTTTCTTCCCTACTGCCTACAGATATGCCCATGTCTCCCCTTATTCTCAAAAAACTCACACTTCATCCTTCCATCCCTGCTTCCTATATCTCTCCTCCCTTTTGTGGCTAAACTTCAGAAAGATAGTCACAACAGGTGCCTCAACTCTCTTTCCTTTCTTCTTAAATCTCTGCAGTCTGGTTTCCTACCTCTTCATTCAACTGAAACTACTCTCTCCAAAGATACTAGCAAGCTCTTAATTGTCAAATCCTATGGAGGGGATGATCATACGTCATGTCAAGGTTCAACTAGACAAGTTCTGTCCTATAATCCAATGTTGGCGTGGAGGCCATGGGGCAGGGAGTACCTCTAGCTAATCATGGCACCCAGGAAAGACTGGGGAGAAGATAGGGAAGGATTATTCAGCTAGGCCTCACCTGGCTGCAATGGTGGCCACATTCTCCATCCAGGCCATGATTTGGCCACCAAAGGTGTTGCCCTGGTGGTTGGCATGGGGGGGTAGGACCAACTCCACACTCTCCACTCGGGTCTTCTCAGCGGGTACCATCCTGCTACAGTCTCTGCTCTCCAGATCTGACAAGGGACATGGGATGAGACTGAGGGCTTGCTGGTAACCAGGAGGCTGCCCTTCAGGATCCTGGCTAGCTTAATGGACAAGTGAACATGATACACAGCTATTTGTTTTCTGTCTTTTTATTCCCAACACCTAGCACAGTGCCTGGCATCCAGTAGGCATTTAATGAATGCTTGTTGAGTTGCATTGACTCAGTCAGACCATATTTAGAGTGATCAGATCTGGGCATCACATTTTAGGAAAGACGTCTATAATCTGGAGAATTTCCAGGGGGAGACAACCTGGACAGTGAGGGGCCTTGAGAATTGTTTACAGGAACTGGACGTGTTTAGGCTGGAAAAGAGAGCACTTGAAAGATAGGATTGATGGGTTTGAATATTTGAAGAACTGACACATGGAAGAGGGATCATACCCGTTCCGTTGGCAGAACCAGGAGCAAAAGGTAGAAATTACAAAGAGGCAAACTGAGGCTCGATATCAGGAGAAGCTTCCTAACCATGTCAGTTGCCCCAAAGTAGGATGAGCTGCCTGGAGAGGAAGTGGATTCTTCCTCACTGGAGGTCTGGAAACAAAGGCTGGGGGATTCCTTTTCAGGGCTGCGTCAGAACAGGATGGTCATTTTGGCTCCTTGGTCTGCGATTCCATGACCTTCTACCCATCAATCAATAAGCGTTTATTAAGTTCCTACTGTGTGCCGGTCATTGTGTGAAGCCTTTGGCATACAAAGACAAAACCCTGTCCTCCACGGCCCAACACAAATGCATTTTCCTCCCTGGCCATGAATGACCTTTCTCCCTTGGACCCCAGAGGGCACTCTATCCACATCTGTCTAATGTACACATCTTAGGTTAGTGTCTGTTTTGTCTGCCTCCTCTAAGCTCCATGGGAACAAGAACTGAGTTTTATCTGCACTCAAAGCCTCTCCCAGGACCCAGATGTTTGCTGAATTGAACTTGTTGACATCATGGTCAGTCCCGGGGGCCAGCCCATCTCCCATTCTATTGGATGACAGGCTAATGCTTTCCTTCCTTCAAGTCAACTTTGGATCACTAGGGAGTCACTTAGATTTGTGTAAAGTGCTTGGAAACCTTAGAGCGCAATATGAATGTTGGCTATTGTTATAATGATTCTGTCTGGAAAGAGGTTAGACTAAATGATCATGGTAATTAATAGCATTATTAATTAATAAATATTATCATAATAATAAATCACATTTCTATAGCATTTGAAGATTGATAAATCATTTTCCTCTCAACAACCCCATAAAGTAGGTAGTACCTTATTGTACAGATGAGGAAACTGAGGCTCAGAGAGTAGAAAACAGTTGCCGGGGATACATACCTATAAGTAATGGAGCCAAGATTTGAACTCAGGCTCTCCAGTTTCCAAAATCAGCACTCTTTTGCTACCCCAAATATGACTGACCATTAAGGTCCCTTGCTCTACAATAACCTCAGGCTCTGAGATTCTATGAGACTCAAAGATATCTCCAGTTTCCCTTAAAAACTCAAAGTCAGGGCAGCTAGGTGACATAGTAGAGAGAGCGCTGTCCCTGGAGTCAGGAGGATCTGACTTCAAATCCGGCTTCAAACACTTACTAGCTGTGTGACTGTGGGCAAGTCACTTAACCTTGTTTGCCTCAGTTTATCATCTGCCAAATGAGCCAGAGAAGGAAACGGCAAACCACTTCAGTATTTTTGTCAAGAAAGCCCCCCAAAACTGAGTCACAAAGACGTGGATGTGACTGAAAAGACTGAGCAACCACATTTCCTGAAGCCAGATCTGGTACATTTCACCACCTAAGTGGTACCCCGGGGTTTGGAGAACAAGGCCATACAACTCTTCCTCTGGGTCTCTCGTGCTTTTTATAGACTAATCACCTCCCCTCTTAGCTTCTGAGCTTCCTTGTGGTTCTTAAATCTGTCTATAATTAGTGGCTCCAACACACCCAAGTCAAGAGGTAACCAAAGGCACTGGGTATGAATAAACTCTTTTGAATTCTCTCCGGGGCATGGGAATAAAATGGTGCCCATAATGTGCCAACAACCCACAAAGTGGAAAGAGCACAGAATCTGGAATCAGAGGTCCTGGGTTCAAATCCAGCCACTGATCATCACTACCTATGTGACCTTGGTCCAGTCACTTAGACCTCATCTGGAAAATAAGAGGGTTAGATTAGATGGCCTCTGAAGGCCCCTCTAGCTTCAGATCTAGGAGTTAGGATCTGATGACCTAGGTTCAAATCTTACCTTTGATGCTTACCACCTGTGTGACTGTGGATAAGTCACTTCTCTGATTCTCAGATCAGAGGTTCTTGACTATAAAATGAAGGGGCTATATGATCACCAAAGTTTCCTCCATTTGAGGGAGGTCCTTCCGAAGGACCTCCAACTTTATAGGTCTAGAATGCTCAGAAAATGTGGAGTTGAGTAGAGAGACTGATGCAGATACACAGAGAACTTCCTTATTGAACAACTTCAATAGAGAGTAGATATAACAGCATTGCTCAGTCCAGTAAAAGTAGCATCAGGAGCGCTAACATTTAGAGTGAGCTGAGGCTGGTGGGGCGATCTAAGGTCAACGAAAGCGGGTTTTAAAACTACAACTGAGGGAGAGAAGAAGGTCATAGATGGGATCAGACCTTTGCTTGGGATAGATAAGATGATGAAAAGTGACAACAAAATGCTCAAAGCTCAATCCCTATTTTGCTTTTATATTCTGTGCTGAAGAGAATGATCTTTAGATTGAAAAGGACACAACAAAAGTTGGCTGATGCTCAAGATAAGTAAAGAGACAGCAGGTACTCCTCAGTGCAATCAGGTCATGAGGCCCAGATGAACTACATACATTCCTAGTCACTGACTGAATGGGCCTGTTATCGCTGTGCCTGTCACTGATCTTTGGGAGATCAACAAGAACAGGAATGATCCTACTGGATTGGAGAAGGGCAGATACTATCCTGATTTTCTCAAAAAGGGCAGAGGGCAGAAGCTATAAACTGTAGGTCAGTGAGTTTGGTTTCTACTCTAGACACAATTCTAGAACATATAATTAAAAAGATGGTGAGAGAACATTTAGAGAAGGAAGCAATGATCACCAAGAGCCAGGACAGCTTCATCAAGAACAGGTATGCCAGACTAGCCCAATTTCCTTTTTTGCCAGGGTTAGTGACCCACAGATCGGGGAAATGATACAGATATAGTTCATTGAGATTTTAGAAAAGCATCTAATTGTGTCTCTCATGGACAATATAAAGAGGCTATTCCAGAAGACCAATAATGAAGGCAATGGTCTCAAGATGCAGAATGAGAAATATTTTTGACACAGCTAATGTAAGAATTTGTTTACTTTAACTACACATATTTGTTACAAAGGTTTGGGTTTTTTTCTTAATTTTTTTTAAATGGAAACATCCACGTACCAGATAGTTATTGAGTTGCTGCAGCATGAAAACTGAAAGAGAACTCAGGTCACATAGCATAACCCTTCATTTTACAGAAAAGTAAACTGAGGTCCAGAGTGGGGCAGACTTGCACTAATTATTAGGAAGGTTTTCATTGTTTAGAGCAAACCAAAAAGGAGTGGTCAGAGAGGTCAGAGGGAAATGTGGGGAAAGATACAAAGGCCCACTTTGTTCTGGCCACTGGGGCCAAGCTGAGTAATCCCTTTTCCACACAAACTTTCAAATTCCTGATGACTTTTATGTGCCCCATGAGTCTTCTCTCCTCTGGGTTATCTCCCATTTTACCTGGCATGGTTTTCAGTCTTCTCACCACCCTGGTTGCCCTTCTCTGGACTTCAATCCCATTTCTTTCTACCCACCCCATGGTCTGCTCCCACACTGGGTCCTGCAGGGACATCTCACCATCTTGAATGACGCTCTTGGCCAGTAGGTCCCGGATGGTTTCTGTGTACACCAGCCTCATCCTTCGACGCTCTGCTGCCACGCTGTACTCCACCTTTTCCTCCTCTGTCAGCGGCAAGATCTGTTTTAGCTTTACCTGACACCCAGAATGGGAGAGAAGTAGCAAGGGCAAGAAGAGACTGAAATCAACAGAAAGTGCATCTATTTATATCATGACATGACCCATGCGTTGGTGGGAGACAGGGTGCAATGAAGAAGAAGACTTATTCTTGGGACACAACCTTGGACAACTCCATAGCATCTTTCTTCCCAAAGATCTCTCCACCACTGGTCTTTAAGACCCTGCATCTTTCCCCCTGTTCCTCCCTGACTTCTGTGACCAAACACCCTACACTAGACTTGAGAGAAAAGACAAGTTCCACTCATTCTCTTCCTCCTCTCCCTGGAATGTCCAGAATGGAATTCTCTATCTGGAACTTCCCATGATGGGAGAGAAAGGCATTTTGCCACATACCCCCTCTGCACATTCAGCAACAGGTTTACACATAGCAGCTAAGGCATGTGCTGCCTAGGGAGCCCCCTCTTGGCCTCCTCGTTTTTGTATTTCTTTTCCTAATCAGAGATGATCAAATAGTAATCCAGAGATAGGTGTTTCTAGCCTTCAAGGTGATTTCATGAGTCAGAAGCCTGAGACCCTCAGTCAGGTGCTACTATAAGCACTTTCTGGAGAAAATGGACAATGACAGGAGGAGAAACCCAAGCCCTGCCCTGGTTTCCCAAAAGACAGTGACCGTAAGGGAGTTGTCTGAACAATATAGAATTGAAGTAAAGGTGAAATGCTGATTCTGTAGCCCCATTAAATGACCCACATTTTAACGTTTTAAGTGTCAACCTCCTGGGAAGGTCTAGTATAAGTTATTGGTTACCGGATTAAGTTTTGAGTCTTTGTCAGTGCATCCTTATTAACCTTTAGTATTCTAAGCATTTCTTTCTTGGTGGAGGAAATAAATAACTGTCCTATACCTGCTTGACATGGAGTACTTTCTATACCCTTTTGGGGAAATCCTGGAAATGAGTCAAATCTAAGGTTTCAGTGATTTTCCACAAGGCTCTGAGGAGGAAGCATAAAGAACCAAAGAATATGAAAAAGAAATCTACCCTCTCTCTTTTAAATGTCAGGCTCCCTCAGGACTGGACCAGAACTATACGTATTCCCCTTAGTGGGAGAAGGCAAGTGGTCCAGGCCCCCTGGGCTCAACAGTGATATCTGTTATTACATATGTAAATATGCGATCACCCCCTCCCCCTAGAATGTCAGCTGCCTAAAGGCATTTCTATGTTTGTAATCCCAATGCCTGGCACTTAGTAGGTCCTTGAGGAATATTTATAGATTAATTGATTTTAGTTCTAAATCCTATGGTGCAACAGATCCCTCCACATACTGGGCACACGATAAATTTGGCAGGACTTTGCTGCTTGGGTTATGGATGCTAAGGCATCTTATTGTTCTCAGGTCACTATCATTGCTACATATGTCTATAATATATTATAGACTATAACATTATAATATATGATACAGTATATTATAGACTACAATATTAATTCTTCTCTAGGGTAAGACCTCGATCCTCCTCCTAGTCTCAACCAGTTTACCAGGGGCTCAGTCAAAATCAAGCAATAAGCATTTATTAAGCGCCCACTATAGTGGTGCAGTGGATAGAGCACTGGGCTGGGAACCAGGAAGACTCATCTTTCTGAATTTAAATGTGACTTCAGACACTTCCTAGCTGGGCGACCCTGGGCAAGTTACTTAACCAAATTTGCCTCAGTTTCCTCATCTGTAAAATGAGCCAGAGAAGGAAATGACAAACCACTCCAGTATCTTTGCCAAGAAAACCCCAGATGGGGTCACAAAGAGTTGGACACAACTGAAATCAACTGAACAGCAACACCTTACATGTTGAGCACTGTGCTAGATACTGGGGTCACAAAGATCAAATAACAAAGAAAGAAACATGTTCTACCCTCAGAGAGCTTCCATTCTCGAAGACAAGACAGCATTAGATACCTAAGTAAAGAGGGGCAGCTGGTCTTTGGCCAATTGGTTCATGGGTGTTGAGTGAGGCGGTCACAGAAAGCGAAGGACTCATCACAGAGGTAATAAAGTAGTAATATGTTTAAGAGGTGCTAAACTAATTACAAAGCTGTTTTAGCCCCCAGAGTCCCTTTACAAAGTATGGCAAAGTTTCTCTGATTGAATTGGAAGGGGAACTTGGGGATTTGCTGGCTGAAGATTGGCCCCGCCCCTAGAGGTGTTTAAATAGTTAAGGTGGCCATTCCCTAGAGTCAATGATGCAGCTTAAGAGAGTCAGGTTCAGGACAAGAGCAGGCCTATTGTGGAGGGCGACCTTGTGATGACAACAGAGCAGAGCAGTGATGGGGAAGGGTTTTGTTTGTTTTTGTTTTATATCCTTACCTTCACTAGCTGTCATATCTAGTAACAGAGATGCTCAACCAGCAGTCAGACAACTAGCATGTATTAAGCACTTACTGCATGCCAGGCACTGTGCTAAGCCCTGGGGATACAAAGAAAGGCAAAAGCTCATCCCTGCTCTCAAAGTCTAATGGTGGAGACAACATACAAACAATTCTTTACCAAAAAGCTGTAGATGGGATAAATTGGAGCCGATAAACAGAAGGAGGTCACCAGCATTAAGGGGGATTAGCAAAGGGGGGAATCTGGATCGGGAAAATTTGCTGGGACTTGAAAGAAGCCAGGGAAGCCAGCAGGTAGAGATGAGGAGAGAGATAGTTCCAGGCATGGAGGACAGCAAGAAAAAATGATCAGTGAGGAAATGAAATGTCAAAGAATAGCAAGGAGGCCAGGTCATCAGATTGGCCATTAGAGCATGTAGGGGGACAGGGAGTAAGGTGCATGAAGATTGGAAAGTTAAGAAGGTGCCAAGTCAGGAAGGGCTTGGAAAACCAAGCAGAAAATGTTATATTTGATCCAGGAAGTAAGAGGGAGCCACTGGGGTTTATTGAATTGACAGAGGTGATAAGACCCATCAGTCAGCAAACATTTATTAAGCACCTACCATGTGCCAGGCACTATACTAAGCAATGGGGGTACAAAAAAAGGTAGAAGAGTGTCCATTCCCAAAAAGCTCACAGTGTGATGGGAGACACAACATGCCAATAACTGTGTACAAATCAACTATCTACAGGGATAAGTTGGAGCCAATCACTGGAGGGAAGGCACTCTAATCAAGGAGGACCTGGAAAGACTTCTTATAGAAGATAGGATTTTAGCTGGGTCTTCATGGAAGTCAGAAAGCAAAGATGACGAGGGGGAGAATTCCAGGCAAGGGGACAGCCAGTGAAAATCCCAAGCTTAGAGGAGCATCTTGTTCAGGGAACATCAAAGGGGTCAGTCTCACTGGATCACAGCGTCCAAGAAGTGGGAAGATGCATAGAAGATATAAGACTAGAAAGGTGGGTCAAGAGTATGGGACCAGGTTATGAAGGGCCCTGAATGCCAAACAGATGATTTTGTATTTGATATTGGATGTGATGGGGAGGCAGGGGAGTTGACTGAATGTAGGGTCAGGGGAGGTGTTGACGTGATCAGACTTGTACTTTAGGGTAATCAATTTGACGACTGCATGTTGAATGAATTGGAGCAGGGCAGGGAGACATGATGGGAGAACAGCTAGCAGGTTATTGCAATAGTCCAGTTATGAGGGGATAAGAACCCACACCAAGATGGTAGCAGGGCCAGAGGAGAGAAGGGGGCATATAGAAGAGAAGTTATACATATAAAAATGACAGGATTCAACCAGTGACCGGATATAAGAGTGGGTGAGAGAGTGACAAGTTGAAGGTGACACTGTGGTTGGGAGCCTGAGTGTTTGGGAGGATGGCAGGACCCTTTACAATAATAGAATAGTTAGAGAGAAGGGAGGATTGGGATAGAGTGAGTTCAGTTTTGAATGTGTTGAGTTTAAGGTGTCTCTGGTTCAGCGTATCTAAAGGGTAATTAGGAGGTTGGGAGAGAGGTGAGGACCTGACAAGTAGATCTAAGAGCCATCTGCAAAGAGATTATTGAAATCGTGGGAACTGATGAGATCACCAAGTGAAGGAGAAGAGAAAAAGGTGCAGGACAGAGTTTTGGGGACCTCCACTGTTAGCTGGTCTGATCTGGAGGATCCAGCAAAAGAGACTGAGAAGGAGTGGTCAGAGAGGTAGGAGGAGAATCAGGAGAGAGAGAGAGAGAGAGAGAGAGAGAGAGAGAGAGAGAGAGAGAGAGAGA